AGCGCCATAATCTCTAATGAAATTGTTAAGATCGAATAACTATCACAAAGTCAAGTTCTTGTATAGAAAACTTTTTTATTTAAGAAGGTAGGATAGATTTTAAATAGATAGAAAATCGGTACGTATTATTGCCCAAAAYAGCGCTACATTCCCCAATGAAATTGTTCAGATCGGATCACTATAGCATATAGCTGTCATACAAACTGATCGATCCAAGTTAAGATAAATATCTCTTTAGGCCCTCTTATGCTATAAGAAATGCACCTGTTAAGCTTATTATAGTTTCGGTGCGGTCAAAGTTTTTTCATGTTTTAATTTCCATCGTCAATTAACCCTCTTTTTTTTTAATAGAATATATGTTTGATAACAACACTAAATTTTGATAGAAATATAATGATAAAATATGGTTGCGACGCCTTCTTTGTACTCACACCATTAAGCGTCAATACTGCGCCCTGCATGATCGCTCTTTCTTGTTCTTCAAAAGTAGCCCACTACTGACATCATCTAAAAAATTAAAAAAAAAAAAAACTCCACATATTATAATTTCTTTTAATGCAACAACTTTCCACCACACTTGCAGATCCTTTGTGCCACCGGTGCGTGACGAGGAGAGCGAAACCCAGCGCAAGGCACACGCCAAACGCGTGCGTGAGACGCGTCGCTCCACACAGGGCGTCACGTTGGACGAAATTAAGAGCGCCGAAGAGTTGGTTAARAAGAAAAACTCAAATATGAACAACAACAATAACAGCAGCAGCGTAAGTACACAATTAAAAGAAAAACTGTGCAAATTGTAACGCCAATCATAAGCTTATGATGATAGCAATTAAAAATCTATAAATTTATATTTATATATTGCTATTAATTACTAAATGAAAGCATACTTAGGCTATATATACATACATACTTACAAACATATGCCATATAATATAATACCATTACTACACAAAATGAAAAATTACAACAACGAAAAAAAGAAAAAAAAATATTGTAAACAATCATTATTTGTCATGCAGTTCTTTGTCAATTGTATAACTGTRCTTTTGTGTGAAATTGAACAACAGTCAAAAACAACTAAGACAACAACAATCATCTTGTCACGTGCAATGTCCCGCCGGTGTTTGTGTCACCAGAAAATTGCCACCATTTCCACCACCACCAATTTCACCATATCCACCACAAACGAATTCAGTTAACCACTGCAACCTTCAATTGCCAAAACTCATCTAAAATTAATATACTTGTTTGTACTATTACATATCTATCATGAGCAAACATGTTGTTGTTGCTGGTTACAGTCAATACTCCAAGTATTGAAATTTAAAATCACATTAAAATTGCTTCTGGAAGCGGTGTTGTTATATTATACATAATTATTAATGTTATTAAAAATGAATTTTAGGTTAAAATTTATATAGTACATATATCMAAAATTATATCGTTTGCTGGTTTTTTGATAATCAATTAATCGTAGTACCACCAAATACAAATATATCATTACAACCACCCAATCCAACCAAGCAACCACCAAACCAACTGTAATCCACCACAATCCACTTGTACACTTCAAATCTCACTCACTATATATCTCACCCCACTCACTACTGGRATTTGTGGCCACCCACCACCACCACCTAGGCTTTGGAACTACTATTATCTGACGGTGTTGCGGTATTGATTTTCGTTGTTTCAAATAATGTAAAATCAAATAATTATCTCCAAAACAACAAACATATATATGTACAYACATACATATTATATATATTATACATATATAGTATATACTAGCACAGCAGGTTAAACAGAAGTGAGCAATATGCAGGAAAGCCAACGAATTCATATAAAATCTACAGCACATGGATACACATACATGTAGACATACAATTTTTTTTTTTTAATAAAAAAATGTATTTACCTTTCTCGTGCATTTTGACGCTTTAATTATTGCGCTGTTTATTTAGTTTGCGCCAAGCGTGCCATTAACAAAAAAAAAATAAAAAAAAAAAAAAAAAAAAAATAAAAAAAAAAAAAAAAAAACAAAAATAAATAAAATAAAATAAAAATAACAGCGCAATCTGCTTACAAGCATTCAACGTTAGTTAAACAATAATAATAATAAAAAGCAGTTTGCGTAGACGCTTGTACGAAGCAGCAGCTGACAGCAACCGCCGCCGATACTTCTAATCGCATCCAAATATGCATTTGTGAGATCATCTGCACAGGATTACACACACTCGCGCCTTTCAAACTCTACTTCTATCTTTAACTACTTAACTGATTTGAATTAGTCACTTACTTAGGCAGCACTTTTTCGTAATCGWTTAAGGAAAATGTCGTTTTGTATTGCATAGTTGTATTTTAGTGTCCTTTTATTCAATTTACTTCTAAGTTATATACAAAATGTTATAAAAATTAGTTATTTTATGCAAGTACAATTTATATATATAATGAGGAATGCCATATCTTAATTAATATTTGATATTAGTACATTTATGCAAACATTTGTATGTAATTGTATTTTTCTAAAAAAGTATTTGATATTCATTATTTAGTTGATTTACAAGCTGTCTTAAAGTCTGAATTGTATTTGAATTTTATACAGGGTGTGACATCTTTTATACCGTTTGAAAACTAATTGACTAATTTTGAAAAAAGAAGAATTTAAAATAAACCCCTTTAACATCTGATATAACGGGGTTTTCAATAAGTAAATAATACAGAAACGGTTTGGGGTATTAATGAAATTCTKTATTTCTGTGAAAGTACATGGGACGCCATTATGTATGGAACTCGATTTCTTTTGCATGTGCACTATGGCCATGCTTGCCGACGTCCAGATGCTGAACCCAATTTTCGACGATTTAAATCGGKCRATACTGCTAYAATTTCAAGTTCGATACTCGTACAAGTTCATCAATCGTCGCTGGCTGGTTGGCATATACCATAGACTTGACGAGCCCCACAGGAAATAGTTTATTCGCACGACCGATGCGGCTAATTGACTTGGCCATTTCGTGAGATAACACGTTCACCAAAGTTGGTTTCCAATAAATGAATTGTGAAATTCGYTGTGTGGCTTGTGGCGCCGTCCTGTTACAACCACATATAGTCAAAGTCCATATTATCCAAATCGGACTAAAAAAAATTCGGTTATCATTGAGCGGTAGCGAATTCTATTCATAGTAACGTCCCGGTCTTGATCATTATGGAAGAATGGCCTAATGACCCCACTGACCCCATAAATCGCACCAATCCGCAATTTTATGGTGCAATTGTGACGCATGGAGTATGTGTGCATTGCTACATGACCTACATTGCATATTTTGTTTATTGAGGAAGCATTCAGCCAGAAATGAGCCTCATCGCTGAAGATGATTTTTCGAAGAAAATCTGGATCATTTTCAAGTTGTTGCTCAGCCCAATTCACAAACAGTCGACGATTCTGGTGATCTTGTAAGGATGTAGGTCAAGATCTGTTCGCTAAATCCGCCAGAACGACGTCACAGAGATGCCCAACGCTAGAGAACGACGTGTGAGAAACTGATTTGGGTCTTATTGGACGTAGCGCTCTTAAAGTTGTGGCCACTGACACCGAATTTCGGTAGTCAATTTTAATAATTTCAATTTGTTATTGGATCGTACATATATCTTTCCAAGATGAAATGGCAAACCTAACCAAAGAGAAATGTCAAAAGAGCGGAAAAACTTTTGTAGCGTTCCTACCAAAAAACTCCGTAGTTTTCCTACCAACATTAAGGATCGCACGCCTTGTTTTTGTCACCTGATTGAGAAATATGACTACGACATGAAATTTTTTGTTGATAGTTATGAAGATTATAGAATCAGTAGACTTTGATACAGCTTGTAAAATCTATGAAGTAGTCGTAAATATATCTTATATATGATTATTGTTATTGCAGTATTCGAAAATGAGATTTCGTTTTCAAATAGTGTAGTTTGTGATTAAAATTGCGAATTAATGTGAGTCCCTCGGCCTTTGTTTTTTTGATCGTTAAAGAAACATTGCCTATAATTAGGCGTATTATTAAAAAGTACATAAAAAGTTTGCTCAACTGAATTAAAATTTCAATAATTTCGTCAATACTGACGAAAGTGAGTTCATTTTTAATAAAAGTGGAATATGAAATTTTGATTTTTTTTTCATTTTTAATAAAAGTATCATAGTTTTGAAATTATTGTTTTTTCACAACTTAGAAATATATTTTTTAACACATTCAACTTTTTTTCTTCAAAAGTGGAAGGAGACATTAATTTACAAAATCTTTGTAATCACTTTTTTTTTATTCGAAAATAAGTTATCAAACATAATGATGTTTTCAGAATATGTATTTTGAGCTGAAAATTTTACTCAATGCTTTAAATATAAATCAAATTAATTTTTTCGTAATGATTTCAGCTAAAACTAGGTTGCCTTTGGTTTAGTTTGTTTTCAGTTGGCAAGATTAGTACTGAAAATTTAGAGAAATAAGTTTTTGGCGTCATTTCCATGTACAAATATATCAAAAAAAAAAAATCGCGACAAATTAATTTGTATGAAAAAAATTTCAAATACTACCGCAATTACAGACATTTTTGAATGTGGCCTTTTGCTATTTGTGAAAAATAACAGTTCTTTTATATAAATCCGCAATGTTTTTAGCACCAATACCCATAAAATTGAGCAAAAATTTTAAGAGTAGCAAGTTAAAAGCAACAAAATCAAACAGTAGAAGTAATGAAAGTAACTGCAAATTGGTCATACCTCACGAGGTAATTGTCGAATGCAACCGCTGAAAACGAAGTCTCACGAATAAGCATTGCGAAGCGTTTTCGTTTAACTATTCAGTAGTGATATTATATTTGTGCGTTTGCATGAGTTGCAATATGGAATCTGCATGAATATTTTATCGTAAAATTATATAAAAATATTTTGTAAAAATTAAAAATTTTGCATTTATGAACCTTTTGATAAGAGCGATAAAAAAACGCCTTAACAAWTGCAATATTATAGTGTTTTTGTTAAACATGGAATTTTTTTATTTAGATATACATACATACTTACCGTATATGTAGCGCAAATATACCGTACACACATATAACACTTACAACAACCCAATAGCAAATATGTTTACGTTAAACTAAAAACCAAAATTATTAACAGAATGAAACGCAAGTAGCTACAGCAATAGCAGGAACAATTCCGACAACATCAGAACAACAAGAAGTTGAATCTATTGAGGCGCCACACACAGAACCGTCAGTAGGCGCCACACAAACGCTGCCAGCCACAGAAACGCCGCTTGCGTCACAGAGCCAAATCGCGGATGGCGACGAAACAACGGTCGCAGACCAACAAGCCAATCGTGCGGATTGCATGCCAGCAGAGGAGAGTGATAGGGAGGAGGAGGAAGAGGAAGAGAAAGAATGTGCTCAGCAGGATGATGAAGCTGTTGTGGACAATGATGGCGAGGATGTTTCCGCCTCTTTCACAATTGTGGCGCCAACTAGAAAGAACTCTAGTACGAAGGCAACAATGCTGGATGATACCACAACGGATGATGCCACAACCACCGATGATAACGATGAAGAGGTGAGTGCCACATACACGTTGACACCGCGTCATTCGTTTGTCGGCAGCGCAACACCCACCGAAACTGTGGAAACGACGATAGTGGTCACGCCACCAGAAATCATAATCAATGAAAGCGATTTAGATAGCAAAACGGTACGAAAAAAAGACGATACATATGAAATGGAGTATGAAAATGTGCCTGAGAGTGCGAACAAGCTTGAGATTGATGCCGACATTGAGAATGAGCATGCGGATGAGTCAAGTGAGTCTGAACAGCAGAAGGAAAACGAAGAGGTGACAGAAATAGCAAATTTAAGCAAGGCCAACGATGTACAAGTCGAGCTAGAGGCGGACGACGAAGAAGAATTGCTAGAAGAGAGGGCGGTAGATGCCGAAGAGGATGTGGAATCAGTAGATAGTGAAATTATTGAAATTAACGAGTTTGAAAATGAAAAGACTGAAAGCTCTGCCGCCAAAGAGTTGGCTACTTATGAAATAAGCGCTCCTAAATCACACATATCCACTGGCAATAACTCAGCCGAGTCATCGGCTGTTACACAAACTGAACGTGCACRCCATAACACATTAATTCCATTGCCGCTGGTTGACGTGGCGTCTAGTAATGTGGCGCGTGCCACAGATGCTACACCGGCCACGCCCACCAACACGAGCGCGAATACGCCCACACTCGAAAGTCCTGTACGCTTGCGCGACAAACGTATACCTTACGAYCCGGACAGCAACAATGCCTTAACGTTAGCCGAACGCCTACGTTATGAAGCGAGCAAATACAGCGCTGTCGGCGATAGTGACGAGTCGTCGTCATCGTCGACAGTCGTTAGTAAAACACGCTCACTACCAGCGGCGTCGCTGGCAAGTGATGCCGATGCCATAAATGAACTATCAACAAATTACGGTAAAATTTCACTCAGCAGTCGCCGCAGCTTGGACTCATCCTCACTGTCATTGCACGGCAACAACGAGAGCCAAGCAGCTCAGGCGTCATCTAATGACACCCAAACCTTACAAAGTGCTATCAGTAGTATTAGTAGTTGTAGTAACGGTAGCGGTACAGCGTTTGTGGCAAATACAACAACAGCGACGGCGCCGAGCAGCAGCAGCAGTTGCAATAATAGTACAATGGCTGAGCGRCGTCCTTCTTGGCGTTTAAAATTCGATGCTGGCTGTAAGGTAATGCATTGTTGTACGATCCCATAGTACAAAACAAAAACCAAACAAAAATTACGATTTTTWAAAATTCAAAATACCCACCAAAATAGACCAACCCAACAGTTTGTCGACTCTTACGTTGTCGAGTTTGCAACACGCGTACGTTCGTTTGTCGTGTTTGTAGTTTGAAAAAAGAAGAAAAAAATCAACTTTTGTAAAAATGTTTGGTAGAAATATACGCCACTTGTTATGAATTACTTTAGAAAGTGCAARAGGGGAAGTAAACGCATATATTTTAATTTATATGCATTGTATATTATAGTGTTATTTTTGTTAGTAGTGCCTCCACCAACCACCAAACCATCAAAAAAGTCAAAAATCAAGTATCAACACCAGCGTTGCCAACACGAAACACAAAGCTTTTTCGATTTTCTTTATATGCATTGAAAAAGACAAAAGAAGATGCTTCAAAGCCAAACATATTTACATACAGACAGTCATGAAAACATAATTGTAAACTTTTGAATACACTTTACTTACGTAAATAACCGATTATGGCCATAAAAAATTGTAATAATTTAAATTTAAAAAATTAATTAACATAATTTATTGGTACACGGATTAGTCGCATAACTGTGAAATATTATATCAATTTTTTAATTGTTTAAACAAGAGAAAAAATTTTAATTTCGTTTTTGTGCACAAATTTTATAAAAATTGTTTAGTAGAAAACATTTTAATTTTAAAGAAAAAAATTTAATTCCTCTTTGTAAGGAAAAAATCTAATATATTTTGTTAAATTTATGTACAATAATTCTTTTAAGTTCTTATAAAAAAAAATAGTATTAAGGAGTTACTTGGATTTCCTCGGGTAAAAAACAGCATTTTTCAATGTTTTTTTATGTTTAAAATGAATTGTTTTATTAAAAGTTTTTATTATAACAAACATACTCTATTAACAAAAAATTTCTAAAATTTTTGGAAAAAATATTTTAAACTCGGTCATTGCGACCCCATTTCCGGTGACCCCTCGGAAAAACGATGCGCCGCGTTGGCAGGATAAATCCTTACAGGATCATTTAAAGTGAAAAAATACGTGTTTTAGTTAAAACCTTAACTTAGAACTTGGATGAAGGAACAAAATTTTAATTTTTGACAGAMATTTTTAAAAAATTATGAAAATTTCAGTAAAAGTTTCGCTACWTTTTTGTTTTTTTCAAATAGTAGTAATCGAAAAAAATCCTTCGTCCAAATCTTTCAGAATTGTATCTCAAAGACTTCTGTAAATTTTCATGAAGATCGGTAGAGTAGTTCTCGAGAAATATTACCAACCGACTTCAAAAACACAATTTCGTGCAAAACGGGTTTAAAGACGACGCACTTAACCTATCTAGCCTCGAGCGCACAAGTTCTCAAGGTTGTATCTCCGAAACTATTACTCGRATCAACTTGACTGGACAATTGTAGAATTAAATAAGAAATCGATTTTTTGAAACCCGTAAACCCATGTAACTCTTAAACATCAAATAAGWGTTTACAATGCGCTAAATTACTTATTGCAATTCAAAATTTGTATAAATATTTCACGTTAAGTTTACTTAATGCCTAATATCAAAATTATTTATTTTTAACTTTGAAACCATAATATACTTCTATATACACTTAATTAATATTAATTTTTACTTCATTAATTTTATATACTTTTTTGTAAAAATTAGCTATTAATATTGTACTACCCGTATTTATACCTAAACTGAAAAGTAATTGGAAGTAGTTACTAGCTTGTATCGTAAACCTATTYAAAAACAGTAGAGACTAGTAAAGCCTATCTCTCACATATCCTATTCTACTCATGCCTTCTTTCATCATTTTATTGTTGTTTTCACCACTAATTGTTGTTGCTTAACTCATTAATGTTTATTGTAAATAATAAACGAAAAATTTAATCCTTAGCTGTTATACAATATTATACATGTCTACATCAACCTTAACTTGTATAGCCCACTAAGCGCCTACAACCCGCCTACTTAAAGCATAACGAGTGTATGTATGTATTTGTTATATTATTTTGCACCACTACACACTCACCAATTTATGTACTCACATTTTTCTGCTTTTCCATTAAAACACCTTACTGCTTTTTGCCAACACATCTAATCGTTATCATCTGTGTCTAAAATTTAATTTGAAAAAGGTTCAACTAATTGTTAGTTTTCAATTTTTACATGTTTTTTTTAATTATAAAGTGTATAAGTGTTGGGTATAAAACAGTGTTAAAGTTATGTCCAGTTTCATAATTTCTGTTTGCATTTAGCACTTTGATTTGAAGGACTAGAGACACTGTGTGTACTCAAACATCCATCATCCATTTGGTTAGAGCGTTTTTGCAGGAGTGTGTTTTTTCTCAACCGGTTTCATTTTTAAGATTTGGTTTTATAAAAGTTGGATACAAAGAGCAAATTTATATGAAAAAAGTAGTGTGAAAACTGCTTGGAAAAYTACTTTTATACCAAAACAATTAAACAAAAGTTTCCCTTAGTATTGTTTTTCGATTAGTAACTTTACATTTATAAGTTCTTAATATTGTGGTTTTTGTAAGAGCTACAATTTTTCTTAAAATTAAATGCTTTTGAGAAATGAAACCGTGGAGAGTGGCCTTTGACGGTTGTAAATACGTTTTCCTTCCGATTGCTTATGTCCAGCTATCACATGAAACCTCATGAGAAAATTAAACGTATTTCCCATCTATTCTAAATTTCATACAACGGTTTCTTATTCTTACTGTAGTATCTCTGGCTTTATTAACCACCACCATTCTAGCTTTATATCAAAGTATTCTGCTGCCAAATCCTAAAAATGTTGCCTATTCTGCCTATTTTTTTAATTTTTTGGTTAACTTAATGAGATTAAGAACTGGAAGTATATACGGGATTTAAGATACTTATGTTGTTGTTGTTATAGGAGTAGAATTCTGCAGAACTGAGAGTCCTTGGCGGAAAAAAATCCGGGTCCGTTCCGGTTACGTAAACACGACTTTCGTGGGAACGATTGAAGATTCTTATCTTACCATCTGATCAAATTTGCCTTCAGTGCCTTCAGAGAATTATGATTTTTTTCGAATTCGGCTTATTTTTGAAGTGCCATTCAATATTTTCGACGTCATATTCATAAAYCCACRTCTAAATATAAATGTAGGATCCTCAGCTACGTTGCCTCAGCATCTCTTTTGCCACCTCTAAGGACTTAACCTCACTTTCTGACTTTGGCAGAAARTCATGTTTGTCTGCTGTTACGGTTGGGGTTTGAACTTTGATCGTTTTCTGACATATTTTGTTCAATAATTCTCCACTTGTTATTAAATGTTTTCAAAATAGAAATATTAGATAATAAATKAAATATAAATTGGAAAAATTAAAAAAAAAATTGTCAAAAGACTTCTATACTTTTTTGACTGCTTATTTCAAAGACCCTATTTAAGCTGTTATTCCAGYCATKTAAGCTTAAATTAGGTAAGAATCTCGGAATTCGAGATACCCAGCTGTAAGTCTGTAAATATTGTACTTTGACACCCTTAAATTTGTCTCAAAACCTACATATGGTAGATACACCATATGTACTATAATGACTGGACTATGTAGCATACATCATCTGTTAAGTAAAAATTTAGGTTTACCTCAGAAAACTTCAAAATTAGTATGTTTTCTTGTATTCAACACAATCAAAAAGCAATCGAAATCTTTTTTCAATAGAAGCTAATTCTTATACACATGAATACACACTCAAAACGAAAAATTTATAATGTTTAATCATTAATATGGTTTTGGTAAAAATATATATTTCTACACTGAAAAAAAAAACTTAACTTACAACTTCAATTTGTTACTAGAAAAATTCTGTTTTGAAAATTTAATAGTAAAAAAAAATTTGTAGAAAAAGGACATACCCGCACCCTGTAGTTGTGKCGTTGACACGTTTATCCGTAAATTGTTCTGTGCTTTGGTGTACCCGTTTTATAAACCTGCAAACATACATACAACWACATACCTAATTGTGACGTAGAACGTTTACCACCCACCCTAAGTATTTGACTACCTACATAAATACCCTGTATTAACGAGCGGTTTCGAGCTATCGACACACAATCAGGACACATTTTGCTGTAGCCTTAATTTGACATATAAACATACAAACAAACATAGAATGCAAGCCAACGTCATAGACGTAATTACTAATATAAGAAAATTTTCGATAAATTTCAAAATTTAGTTCAAATTGGAAGATGCATCRAGTGGGAATACATTTCCGCCAAATAACAGCACAATTATACCGAGCGCGCCAGCTGTTATTGCCGCTGCCAATTTATCGTCAACCATATCACAACGGCGCATCAACAGTAATTCATGTAAGTATCATTAAGCCTATAGTACGGCTATAATAATTCCTTCRTAATATAACATAATCTTAATTTCCTTACAGTGAACTCGTCGAATCAATCGTTRAACTCAATTGGACGACCTGTATCCGCACCAGTCAATGCCACCACATCCACCACATTACTTAGCAATGATACTCACAGCGAGGGTGTTAGCATTTTCGGCCGACGACTCACCGGTGGCAGCACCAATAGCACTTATAGTAGCAGCGCCACAACCCCAGCAACTACCACGACAACGTCTACTGCATCCACAACAACAGCTAACGTCACAGCCGCCACCGCTAATTCGACGTCGAAAACTAATGATGATAAAGGTAATGCAATTTTGTGATCTTTTTTTGTTATTTTCTTCAACAAATTCTTTGTTTTTTTTTATTTGTTTAGATAATGACAAAGAAAATGATAACCGCAATTTGGCTGCTCAATCGGCCATACAACGAAGAAGAAAACCAAAACGAAGATCCACCGGCGTTGTGCATATCGATATGGATGTAAGTGGCTTTTATTTGAAGTAGTTAACGTTAACTGATGTTGCATTTTCACAAAAATGTTTTTCTGAAAATAWTCTTGGCTATAGCAACTACTTAATAGTAGTATTTTCGATAACAGTCGCGTCTACACAACAAAAAATTACAGCATTCGCGGTATATTGACGTAAATACCGTACATATAGGGTTTTTGTAATTAATATAAAGTGTGTTTTTAGGGAACATAATTTTTGTAAGACATTGTCAAAAATGTTTCAATTAAGAGGACGTCCCATGGAAACCAGCCTGTTGGCCAAATTTTGCACCACTTTTTTAAGCATGAATGTTTTTTCAATTGGTTATTACTTTTTTTGCGTTAGAAAAAAATTGGGGAATTGCCAAATTGACAGTTCTTGCCCGAAGATAAAATCGACTCCATTTCGTTCATAAAGGAGGGTGTCAGCTGTTAAATCACAATCACTGAGATGAGAGATCAAAGTTGTTGTTGTTGTAACAGTTATTAACACCATGTTTTTGTGCCGAGGGGCAAGTTGTCATTGATATCTGATCGGAGGCCCAGAAATGGTGACGTTTTTCCAAGGTGTGTGGGAAGGACCATAGGTAGAGAGATGTTAGACAAKTGGGACTTAGAGGTGGTTAAAGCCATGCAGGAACTCATTGCGCGTTGGACGTATGTATGTATAAGGGTCGGTTCGGGAGATAGGAGTTTAACCTATGCGTTGCAACTCAAACTCTTCCACTGTTTTGGGTGGTTTGACTTCAAGTACGCCRTTGATTGAAAAGGATTCGTCAATCAAGGAGTGATCTCTTCATGCTCTTGGGAGGTGGTTCCGCTCAAAGCAGATAACTACGAAACGCATCCGAACAGAAAATTTTGTTCAATGATCTAATAATTACTACGACAAGTAAACCATACTAGAAAATAGTTTCAAATTTGTTCGCGCTCATAATAAGACAATAGAGGCTTTGACAGCCCATTTGACTGTTATTACTTTAGAAAATTACATACTTCTAAAAAACACCCTGTATAGTGTATATTGGTTTACACCAGTTTAAAGCGGTTTAAATTTTGTTATTGGTATTTATTCGAAATATTGATTATAAATCCGTCAAACAAAAAGCTTAGAAGCGATAAATTTYTAAATTCCGTACTTGGGCTTTTTTCCGATTTTTGCATCTGCRAGATACAAGTATTCCAAATATGAAATTTTGAAACGCAATTACAATTTTCAAGCGCAAGTGTCGGCAAAATGGCTAATCGTTTGACTTTTTTTTTTATTTATTGTGCATTTCAATTCGTTAGGCGTCTGTTGTGTTTACGTACACACAACATAGACTTTGATTAATTGCGGTAATTTATGAATTTTATGCATTTTAAATACGGAAATTTACAATACGAAATTTTTAAAATTTTATTTCTCTATTTTCTTGCTTGCATTTACAGGAGCTCGATCCAGAGCGGCAAGATTCAGCAAACGATGCGGAAGAGAAAGATAAGGAGAAAGAGGTGAGCATCTTTAAAATGCATTTTGCTCTTAACAATTGCAAATATTTGTGGGTAGTGTGCTCATAAATATTTCTAATTGATGATGTGGTTTTTATTGCAATAATAAATAATATTTACAATAATGGCAACAACAATATACAAAATAATTTTAGTCATACAATATTTCTAAAAATAAAGAAAAAAAAACTTTTGACATTTTAAAAATATTTTCTGCTTATAAAGTGACACATTATTTATGGTTTACATATATCTCTCAATATTTTTAAAATTTTTTTTTATGATTATGATGCTAAAGTGATTAGACTGTACACCTAAGAAAACTGAATTCATGTGTAATTGTAATTTTTGAACGCGAAACTAGTGTCCAATAAGTTGCAACGTGCACTTGTACCAGTGTTCATATGAATATACATTTGTGCATTAATATCTACACGGAAATTAAATCAGCACTTGGTACTTACTACATACAATATAAAATCGAATTTATGGAATGTATTTTTGATTGCCTTAAAATGCTGATTTTCAATGTGTTTATACACATGTCTATAACACACGAATTTCGGACAATATATACACATCCCCACGGGCGGTAAACATTAAAAGTAAAATTTATTTAATTAAAGTGTAAAAAGTATTTTCTTAAGCTAATTAAGTTGGAATGGCGTCACACCTTCGAGCGATTGCTGCAATTTGCATATGTGGCTACATTTGCGTGGGTTGCTGCTCAAAAGCACTTACAACTACAGTGCTGGCGTACTAATCGGAAACGAATTTTTTTTCAATAAATTTTTTTTTAAATTTTTTATTAAAAATTCTTTTAAAATTTCTAATCCGCAAAAACGTATTGAAAATTTCGTACTAAATTTTTGATCCCAAATACCGCATTAAAAAATTAAACATTTTAATCCTAAATATCGTAATCTTAAAAATGTAATTAAAAATTGTAAATTTGATTAATCCAAAATTTTGGCATAAAAAATCGCAATCCTGAATAAATCGAAAACGTATAACACCCTTTTTTGTAGTCTCTAAACTTAAAAAGGGCGACGCCTCAAATTTATGCAGAAAGCGCCTAAATATAGGCAACATAATATTTCCTAATTAGTTGTTTTCTCTTATTAWCCAATGTAAGCGTCCGCCTGGTGCTTTTAATTCAGCAAAATTTAATTTAGCTTATGCTAATGTTCTCTTTGGAGTATCGATATCTTTTCTATACCCTGAAGAGTTTGTAATACCATGAAGAAAACGTGTATACCATATATATCATATGGCATGGCCATCTTTCACATAATTTTCTTCTCAAGCATTCTCATTTTCTCTCTACATAGCTCACTTTGCTTATACATAGCTGTCATACAAACTAAGCACTCAAAACCAAGTCTATGTATAGAAAACTTTTTTATTTTAAAAGATTTCTTCACGAAATTCGGCTTGGATTATTGTTAACTGCAACGCTCCAATCTTCGAGGAAATTGTTTAGATCGGACCAATATAGAATATAGCTACCGTACAAATTGCCTGAACAAAATCAAGTCCATTTATAGAAAACTTTTTTAATTGATTATATTACTTCACGAAATTTRGCATGGTTTATTGTACAAGGCAATGATACAATCTCAGAACATATTGTTCAGGTGGAACCACTATAGCATATAGCTGCCATWYACATTGTCCGATCAAAATCAAGTTCTTGTTTTGGAGCTTATTTACCATACCTGTGAAAATTATTATAACTTCGGTTCCTAATAAGTTCCCTATAGACTGTATTTGCACGACGGCAATTGCAATTTGGTTCGCAAAAATCTTCCCATTAAATTTTTTTGCGTTTTAACCAAATCCCAGCCAGGACAAGGCTACTCGACGGCGTTGTATTGTGGTCACTCACTATGCTGCAGCACGTTTATTGTCTGTACATCAATCGGCTGTCTCAGTCAGCGCAGCTGTTTAGCATTAATTACCTGCCGTTCGTGGCTGCAATGACCCACTTGCTGCACGCAGTTTTGGCTTAGTTAATGTGAGATGTATATTTTTACGGTTATCTGCATGTATTATTTACAGCATACCCCACGCGCACAWGCGTGCAAATACATGTGTGTGGCCTACTTAGGCGCTGGGCGCACACAAACACATTCAT